AGAATTGTTTGTAAGAAAAAGCTGGAAACTGTGAAGTGAACGAATGTGGATATTGCGCCCGTTCTAGTTTGTGTATGCATATTGCTATCCCCTCCCGTTCTTCTCGACCGATTCATCCATAAATATATGAAGATGAGATTTACTGTTAAGGGTGTTAGATTAGCGTTTCGTCCGAGTGGGTTGCTCTACTCGCTTCCACCCTCTGCGTTCCTTCGTGTGTTTGCCTGATGCTCTTTTCGGTGCCGTGCATTCCACCAGATTTTCAGTCGGCATACATATCTGGAGGGAGAGAATCGAAATCCAACCACCCCAAATACATGTAACTGGACGAATAGTTTGTCCGGTGACTTATTTCCACTTAACACATTGACACTGACCAGGCAAGTTGGAAGACAAACACTGCGAGAGGAATCCCCTTCGTATGCTGTCATCGGTCGCGTACGCATAACACTGAACAACAGAGAAAAAATGAAGCGTATTAAGAAATCTAGTTCAGTTGGATCGTGCGTGTGTTTCTGTTCTGTGTGTATGTGTGATGCACATGATTGGTTTTCCCCAGCGAAGTGGACACAACGTGGGTTTGTTGTGAGCGATCGAGTATCCTTAGTCGGTGTTTCTCACTGTGACGTAACAAAACCGAGAAGGCTCGATTGATGCTGTCCAAAGGAACAACAGTACCATTATGTAAAACATCAACAACAACTGTATCAGCACTAGAATCAACTTCTTCCGTTTTTATTTACTGGAGATGGTATCATGTCTCGGGCTCTGTACAGTCTGAGATCTGAAACGATACTTCGATTGGTCGATTCAATTTCTTCATGCACACTGCCGGGCAGCGGGATCCGAGGACTAATGAAGATCGTCACACTGAAATATGTGTGTCAGAAAAAGATCACTGGAATTTGTCTATTTCAATTCTTTACACTACCATCTGGTAGTCGCTTGATACACCGATATCATTGACACAAAAACGGTACTTTGATAACTATATCTGCCGTTAGAGTTAACTGCATTTTGTACACAGTTTAACTCTGCCGCTAATTGCCATGCAACCATCTTTGGCAATTTAACGTCGAGCCAAAGATTTTATAGTCAGATTACCGTAAATTCATAAAAGTCGAGCCATCCTATAAAAATAATAAATGAAAATCTTCCTACTTCCTCCTTATCAAATATACATTCGTCCAGAAATTTCTCAATAAGAAATAAAATCCATCACATTCACCCTGGCAATGTGAAAACAACACACGATGATGAATTTTCAAATATAACTTTTGAATTGATGCAACGATCATCTCAATCACGATCTCTCTCACTCCGGAAGTGACATTACTGTGGTGATATAACTCATTTGTATTTGAAAAAGAGAACAATATCGAGTAATTCCAACAACTAAACGCATTGGTTGGCAGAAAAAAAGGTTGCTTGATAGTTCTATCACATTTCATTCAATATTCATTCAGCGGATTTTCAGCAAGCCGCCCAAATTTCCCTATTGCATAGATAAAACCGACTTTTGATTGATTTCCTCTTCTATTCCATCTGCTTTATGGTCACTCACACGCTCGGTGAATGGCCTTTAAATGGTCTACAGTACTAGCTAAAACAGAAAGGAAAAAATCGATCACTTCTCTTGAAGAGCAGTCAAGAAGGCCCAAATAGAAATCCAATCAAGAGGATTCTTCGGAATAACTCAAATCCCGTTGTTAGTAACCAAATTCAGTACTATATGCTCAATAAAATTTGCTCTGTATTTAACGTCGATTAGCCCAAGTACTTCAACTTCTACAGCAAACAAGCGATTGCATTCTATGCATGACTAGATAGCAATTATGCGGTAAATTGATTGCGCAAACATGTATCTTCTAATGACTGAGCGCCCACATGAACTCCTTCGCTTTCCACCCCACGACACCAACCCCCCCAAAAGCAGAGTACTACGGTTCCTACATTTTGGATGACCATACAATGAGATTGTTTTGATGGTCACTTTCAAACTTTATTGATAATAAATATCACCTCAATGACAAAGACAATAATAATAATAATAATAATAATATTAATAACTATTACAAATAAATAAAATTAGATGTTTTTTAGACCGCAATTCATCACTAACCTTAGAGCATCAATCATCCTTTTCTGAGTCACTATCTGAGATAGATGAATACGCAGGATGACCTCGATCACCGCCACGTGGGCAGACATCCATATCAAACAGTCTATATTGTTTTTCTCGTGCAGTGAGTCCGAGGATGACCACGGAAGAGCGACCAAATCGCCGGATTGTACACATCGTTTATCGTGACCATTCGTCCACTGATGCGTCTTGTTCGGTGAGCCACCGGCGTCGTTGTGCAGCTCCAAAAAAGAAGAATCTAGTGTGACTCGTTTGCCTCCGGACAACTCTGTTAAAGTCTGCAATAGAATTTCGAAATCTGCAAAAGCAGAACAACGATACGGATTAAAATTCTACGACATTGCGGTGTATAGAAGAAAATCATGTTCCACCGTTATGCATTCAGTAAAAACGTAGAAAAGACTCCGTTGAAAGAATTTTAAAAAATCATATGAAAACGTCAGGCATATGGAAATACAACGTTTTGCAGCATCTCGAAACTTGTTCTTCAAACTTTGGTGTTACGAACGGGTTCACTTTGGATCGAGGATCTCAGTGTTACTCTCCTTAAAGAATAATAAGGTGGTATTATTTGAGGACCAACACAACTGCATCTCCGTCCGAAAAACAGGAATATATAATATACATATTACTGATCCCATCATACAAACACCGTTGAAGTTTCGATGTGTGTGTAACATCTTCGACTTTATATTTACTCTTTCTTATCCCCCTATTGGAAAGCTTAAAATTGCAGCATCCACGGGAAAATACAAGAAGCGGATGAATCCTGAAGGATCCGATCAAATACAGTAAGCTCTCATCGTGAGAAACGCACACTGGTTGCCTCCAGATTTAATAATAGATCACTGGTACCCTCCAGCACGATTTTGGTCCTTTAAATTTCATGTGTTGTTTCCATAGTCGTATAAATGATCGGAAAATGAATTATTACGTCAGATCTGGCATACCTATAACCAGGAACGCTAAAACCGACGCGAACCATCTGAGAACAGAATGCAACTTACTATTAGGGTAGTACGGTACATCCAAGAAATGATTGTGGACTCCTCTATAGGGTACTCATACCACTATTCAGAGAAAGGAAACTAGTTCGTCTTTCGCTGATGCAAACGAATTCAAGCATACCAACAATTTTGTCAATCTGCATCACACAGCTCATCCCTGCTCACCGACGATTGATTTACCAATTATATGATCTCGCCACGGGCTCGAAATCTTTTGCTTGCTTTTAGCACTACACTGTTATAGTCGTGTTGATTGTACGATGAAAAAGAACTATCCACGACGGGATGTTCCGGTCAGGCTTTCTTCACAACTGACTATGACACTGACTGTGATACTACTCTGTGTTTTACTTTACTGCTTGCGGATACCAGAGCGCAACCTTCTGCTCGTGAATATATGTAATGTGCGTCCTGTGTTAACCCACGCCAAACGTGTGACGTGTTTTTGCTCTACTACTGCATTTATTCGATTGCGTTGTGTAGCAGCCACCTGTGGCATGTAATGACTGAGATATACCAAATAAAAGTCTTTTGATTTTCAAGAGTGTTCCTTTCTTTTGTGGGCAATGATACACCACAGGTTGATGCCTATCCCGGGACTTTAATGAAAAACCCCATCGTCAAGCCGCACATCGAACAGGTTCAGAATCGCTAATCCCTAAAATAGACTCAGATAATAGTACAGTTAACCGAGATTCCATGAAAGGATGATCTCGAAAAGCTCGCCGGAATAATACTGGCCTGAGTTTTTGATGAGATCATTTTATTCACTGACAACCCTTGCCTATTCTAAACCGACCACCTGAAGCTATGATGAGCAGTTCTTTCGGATGTGGATCAGGCGATTCTCCAAACCTGCGTGTCTTATTTTACTAGTCCAACTTATAGGAGCTGCGAGGCTCTTCAAACGTATCCTCATGAGGATCGGCAGACAAGGCTACGCCAATGTCTCCCATGTTTAGAGCACCGTACTCCGTCCGATAACCATCTGAGGAAAGGGATCTAAGAGATTTCGTCTAATATACTAGGAAAACGCGAGCACAAACAGAGAGAGGTTGCTTCTTTGCGTATAGAACGTTGGTAAAAGTTTGTTGTTCATTCGGCGCAATACCGTTGAATGCTTTCAGGTCTCTGTTTGCCTCCGTCACCCTCCAGTGATGCTCTTTTGGTCTACCTATGTACAACCTACAAGGAAGTTCAAAGGATTGTTACACTTCTGGTCATTGAACTGCATAAAATCTCCTCACAAATACCGTGTACAGGGAGAATTTGACCCATATCTGCAGTCCACTTTTCCGAAAGAAGCCCCGAACGCACATACACACTGGCCCTCCGGAAGATGTGATTTAATGGTCTGCCATTTTTTACCGTATATCAAGAAGAATACGAAGAAATACCTATAGACCATCTTGTAGGTGAATGTAGCGAAAGAGGTAAATGACAGTATTTGCTGAGTACAGCTATCATAAACATCATCATTATTGTACAGCGTAATAAATTGAAGCGAACTTCACTTATTGCTACCAAACTCCTATCGCATACGAGATAAGTGAGAATATATAAGGAGGACAGGGATTGGACCTATTTTTAGGGAAGGGAAAAGAAAGCGAACCTCTATGGTCAACACAGAGTACACAGTCCAACTGTGCATACATACCAGTTCAAGCATTCTGGACTGATAAAAAGTGACAGCATGATCGCCATTGTTGTGGGTTCGCAGCCATGACCTCCAGTGTCTCCGACCATGCGGCTTTGGAGTCTTTTGAACCCCATCACGGAAGATGACAGATACCCACTTTACTTTATCGCTCTGTGTATTTCTTCATGCCTCGTCTCCACGTCATCTTCTGGCCTCCATGCAGCTTCCTCCAGCGTGTAACAGCCATTGCAAACAAGGCGCGCTGTGGTAGGCGACCGTCGGACATACGAAAAACGGGCCCTGACCAACGGAGCCTATTGAGCTGGATTCGATGCGGTAGTCAGTTCTTGTTTCAGGTATTCCCAAACACCCGACGACTTACTTCTAAGTTACTAACCCTCTCACTCCATCCCACTTGGGCCAGACTACGTAGTAATTGGTTGTCAAACACTCCTACGGATGTCTTCTACCCGCAAATTCAAGGTCTCACAACCGCACAGCAGAATTGATCATAAAGTGGCACAGTATACGCGAATTTTCAACTTCATTAAAACGTACCGTCGCCGGTGAGGCGGCCGATGAAGCTTGCGGTGCGTCCACTCGTGATTTCAATTTTTGAAATGCTCTCCATTGGCTTCCTGTTTTGTTCAGTAATGATCAGCTAGCATTGATTACTTCACGCTACTTACTCTGATTTCTTATTACTTCCAAAAGCCCTTTTTGTGACCTCAGGTAGGGCACACTAGAAGCATTTTATAACAATTTGTGAAATATCACTAGATGTTTTATACTAATGAGACAACTTGTTTAAGATCGCAACAAATATCGATTTTGGTACTAATTGGAGTGATAACTTTACCCGTTTAGCTATCTCTTAGCCACAAGTAGAGGTTTTATTTTTTAATTCAGTTTTTTGTCTAACTGGTCACTGTTTTTTATTGCTTTCCAGGTGTGTACCATTCTGCTACAACATCGGATTATCAACTGGTCATGATTAAACATTTGAACGTGTGCAGTATTGACGGGTTTGTCAGAGAGACAGATGTCATATGGGGTATCACCAAAAGAGCTCCGGTATACCTCAGCAGGGTTATATGAGGCATTTTCAAAATGGAGAACTCGAGTGGGTCCGTATTCACCAAGTCGCTCTAAATGAGGAATACTTGCGCATTCTTACACAAGCTATGGAGCGAGTTGTGACCACAGCAAAAACAACGGTGATCAACACTTACATACGGAAGATAGCAAAACAGAAAGTGGAGACATGTAGAATTACAAAACCAAACAGTGATATTGTAAACCCAATGAAAATGGAAGTCAAAACCATGGTAAGAAAGAAACCCTCAATGGAGTTTCAGTGAAACACCTGCTGATTGTAAAACTGAAAGCCTTTTTAGAGAAACTATACAAAGAATTTAAGGACATACAGAGGTCTACCAGTCTTTGACTAGGTGGTCTAACTAATTTTGATTCAAAATTTTGCAGGATTTATGATGCATGACTCTCAACCGCGAAAAGAAATAAACTGCGGGCAAGATATCTTAAGAAAAATAAAATTATTTCAAAATACCTGGGGCCTTAGGTCCATATGGGCTGTTCTCATTGGATTTGGTCTGGGATTCGACGAAACTCCTGGGCTCACTATAGGAGATGGAATGGGTTCCAACGGGATGGTGNTGGTGTGAATCAGTCACCTTAGTTATTAACAATAAAAGTGATAGATCCTCTTGTAAAAACCACATAAATTGTCCCGGATTTCTCGTTGGTATCATACTCTGTCGGTTGTCTGTCGCATATGAAAATGCACGCGTAAAATTCAGGCTGGTTTTATACCTAATTGAGGCTTGATAGAACACAATTCCACCATTCGTTAAATTCTGGAGCATCGACATTCTTTTCATAGACCGACCATATTTTCCTTCCTCCATCTGACTCAGCCGACCGCTCCAAACTCTGACGCTGCCACTGTCTGATGGGTGTGCCCGAGAATTTTATTTCAACAATATGATCTCTTTATACTAGCAGCCGAAGCCTAGACTGAGCTGAAGACACTTTCTTATCAGAGTTCCCCACACAGGCGATATTCGTCAAGGTGGTCTTCTCTCTATACCTCTATTTAATTTCTCAGTAGGTTTTTATTTTGAAAACAGTTCTATCGTCGCGCGAAGATGGTAGCGTGTATTCGCTTTCAGGTCGTAGAGAGTTTGATATGAAATATGCGGATGACATCGCGCTGCAAAGTGAAGATACAGGTGAGTTCCGAAATTTCTGGATAGACTTTGTTTACGTGTGACCATGTTTGGTATGCGTTTTGTACCATCAAAGTGTGAAATATTGCTACAATGATGGGTTATTCTAGCCCCTGATCTCACTTTAACTAAAAACGTTTTCTTATCTGGATAGCATTATTTCACCCGACAGACGCATCACGGATGAAGTGTCAACTGACAAACAGAATGCTCAATTGTCAATTGTCAAATTGAGCTTTCTGTGGGGCCGCCGAAAAATCTNTTTGACTCACTCGACCGCTCTAAACTCTACTACTGCTTTTCTTTGAAAGGTGTGCCCGAGAAGTTACTTTCAATATAAAAATTCCTTCATACTAATAGCCGAAGCCGAGTTCAAGCCTATGGCACTTTTTCGCGCGAGTTCACCACGGAAAGTGGTGTTCATCATAGTTGTCCTTCCTCTTATCTTCTATTTAACTTTACTATACCTTTGATTATGGAACCAGTCCTATCCTCGCGTGAGAATAGTGGCATTGATTTACTCCCAGGAGGCAGGCTGTCTGATCTGGAGTGCACAGACGACATTGTGCTATTGAGTGAAGATCCAGGTAAGTTGCAAGCTTTTCTGGACAGCTTGAGTGCCAGCGTAGCCATGTTTGATATGCGTTCTACGCCTTCAAAGTGTAAAATTCTGCCACAAAACTGGGTTTGTTTAGCACCCAAACTCATACTAACTGGGGAAGTAATAAAGCAAGTACATAAGTTTTGTTATTTGAGCAGCTACATCTCACCCGTTGGACGAATCACGGATGAAGTGTCAGCTCGCAAAAAGAAGGCACGGTTGTTTTTTTATTTGCCAACTTGAAACATCTGTGGCGCT